AGGCCAGCGGGCTCTGCCCAGACGTCTGTCCCCTCCCCACCCTGGGAGCACAGGTGCATTTTGCCAGCAGAGTCTCCCGTCTCCCTCGGGAAGGCACTCTTGTGTTAGCTTGGGCCCGTGGGCCCACTGGGCTGAACCCCACTGGGGAGGCTTTATTTGAGCCACACGGAAGCGGGTAGCCAAGGAGAGAGGGTGTCAGATGCTCACTCCTCTGACTTTCTCTTGGCAGAGCTTGTGAGAAAACCTTGAATTTGTCTTCGGTTAAATACCAAGACCACCCGTGACTTCCCTTTCCTTGTGGACCACTGAGTCTATGTTTCTAGAAATTTCTAATTCAAGAGCCCGGAAGACAAAGGCTGTGCGCAGGCTCAGAACGTGGGGCCCACCCTTACAAACAACCCTTACAAACAGAGGGACTGGTTCTAACCTGCTTCAGGCGCTCCTCAGCAAAGCAGCTCACCACGTTGGGGGAATGAGGTCCGAATGTAGTTGGAGTCGCAGGAACAGCTCGCCAGGAGGGGAGTTCCGGGTGGGAGATGACGACACCAGTGAGGAGCAACCCAGAGCGTCTCTATACAGACCAGAATCCTTGGGATGCACAAGACTCGCCAGGGCCGCTAACTTGGACAACACGCCAAGCTGTTGCAAGTCCTGTGAGGTGTACTGAGATTATGAAAAATGTGTATGCCATTTCCTTCAGGAAAAACTTATCATCTATAAATATTCATTGAAGTTATTTCCTCATATTGCCTGTAGCTCCTAACAGAAAACCTGTGAGCTTAACGTGGGAAACAGCTTGGAGATGGGGGTGCTTTTTCTTAGGGTTTATGTTGCGGTTGCTCTTACTTCCATGGCTTTCCGGGTTGGTTCTCTCATGATTGGTACTCTTTCCTCAAAACACAGCAAATAAGGATCTAGCTGCTTCTTGGCTGAGATCATAGGCTGGTTAGGCTGATTTTCAGTGCAGGGGTCTACCTGCTGATGCCACATAACTGATTTCTCGGCTCACCCTTTATAGAGGGTGCCTTCATGGGACGCCTGGGGGGTCCAGTCGGCTGAGAGTCTGCCTTCGGCTCAGGTCATGATCTCGGCGTCGTGGGATCGAGCCCTGAGCAGGGAGCCTGCTTCTCCCTCGCCCTCTGCCCCTGCTCGTGTGCTCACTCTCTCCCTCATTGTGTTTTTCAAATGAATAAATAAAATCTTTATAAAAAAGAGAGAGAGTGCCTTCACGATGCCTACTTCTTTGGAATACTCAGGAAAATGTTTCAAAGCCCCAAAGAAGGAACAGGGGGGCCAGAGCGCTCTACTGTCAGTGGCCCCCAGCCCAGCATTTCAGTGGTCTTCAGGGGTACAGCCCACCCTCCTGCCTGCTGCCCCCAAGGCCAGCATCATGTGCTGGCACTAAGCATCATAGAACAAAATAGAACAAAACATGGAATTAGAGACAAAATGCTCGAGAGGGAAGAACAAGGAGATGCTGCCACTGAGCCCTTACGAGCCCAGAGGACTCCTTACGGAAAAGCTTACTTGCGAAGGAAAGTGGACTTAAAATTCAAAACCTAATTTATCCTTATTTAAATGTATGTGGAAGTTTCCACATACTTTCCCTCACGTACCTACGACTTTTGCCATCACAAGTGTGGAGAACAGGGTCTCCAAGCCCACTGGCTCTTCAGCGGTGGCAGAGCTCATGGGAGGGCAGGACAGATTTCTTCCTGGTAATTCTAGGTCGGAACAAGAGCAGTTTTTAAACTGTCCTTCACCCAGCCAATAGGATTCTATGTTCTGCATATAATAAATGAAAATCTGTAAAGAAATGTTAAGATTTTTGTCTTAGGTATTATATCCCTAATTGTAAAAAGTGATTAAAATTCAGTGTCCTTCCATCAAGCTAAAGAGAAAATAAATGGGATTAGTGACTACCCAGAGCACCAGGAAGGCCCCTGAAGAGAAGGCTGCCCACTTTGTTCCAAACTCCAGTTTATAGGTCATTCTAGAATTTATTTATTTTTTATTTATTTTTTAATTTTTTTTAATTTATTTATGATAGTCAGAGAGAGAGAGAGAGAGAGAGAGAGAGAGAGAGAGAGAGGCAGAGGGAGAAGCAGGCTCCATGCACCGGGAGCCCGACGTGGGATTCGATCCCGGGTCTCCAGGATTGCGCCCTGGGCCAAAGGCAGGCGCCAAACCGCTGCGCCACCCAGGGATCCCTCATTCTAGAATTTAAAAAGAGGGGTTATCATGCCAACTTAGAAAGTGCTTGGGGGCTTACAAAATCCTGTGTTCACAAATCATCACTTTGGGAACTGCTGAGATCAGACATTTATTTGCACTTTTGAATCACACACAGGGAGTGACTCACGTGGACGCAGGAAGCCCAGCCCCTTTCCTCAGGGCAGAGCGCTTGGGGACGCAGAGGAGCCCTGGCCCAACGGGACACCAGCGCGCTCATGTCCGCGCTCCTTTTGCACGGTGGGCCTGGTCATGCCAGCGCTCGGGAAACACCAGCTCAGTCCTGGGGGGGGGGGAGTGGAGGCAGAGCTGTCCAAATATGATCTGTAACACCTCCAAGGTCAGAGCAAAACATGCAGACACAGTGATAGATTAGGGCAGGAAAACCCAAGTGGATAGTTCATGTTCTCTAAAATTTTACTACAAAGAACAGTGAGAAATAACCACCGCTTGTCAATGTTCTAGTCCTCCGAGTGTGTATGTACGTGTGTCTGTATTCAGTGTGAGCGAGGAGCTGTGCGTGGATCCGTGTGTGCCATGTGCACAGCAGCAGGCATCTCGAAAACTCTTCCTGATAGAAAATGCGGTAAGCATAAGGTTCACAGAGCTTCTTTTATTTTACCTTAAATAGAATTGCATTTTTAAAAGCTTCAAATAAATTCCACGATTTAAAATAATCAGAGATACCAACACATTTTTACTCACGGTCCAAAAATGATTCCACAGATTTTTCTTTCGCAAAGTCATTTGTAATAGAGTTTTCATATTTATATTCTTAAGTAATCCTTTGTATTTTCTCTCTATATAAATACTGTCAATTTGTCTAGTGAATTTTGGGAGGAAAAGTGTAGGTATACATTAGTGACAGTTCTTTCAAAAGAAAAAAAAAAGAAAGAAAAACTACCCTAGATTTTGGAATTGGCAAGGATATTAATGCCATTCCTGTAGGTCGGGGAGCAGAGCCCGTCCACCCAGCGCCTTGGCCGTGACCCGCAGAGCTCGCTGGCAGGACGGCGCAGGGGACGCCGACACCCGAGCCTGGGACTTGGGAGCAGGAGTGCAGGCAGAGCCGCGGGACGCTGTCTCTGGTGGTGGCACTGAGGGGCTCCCTTCCTGAAGGATGCCAACACGACACCAGGATTGCCCAGTATGTGCCAAAGTAGAGGGGACGATAGCTATTTCCCTAGCTTTGTATAGAATATTCTGCAGATGAAGCTTAACACAGTGGACAAACCAGCCGACAGCCCCGCTCGCAGAACCGGTTCACGGCCTGCTTCTCTTCGGGGCACGGTGCCAGAGGCCGCTTCTACTTCAGCACCAGTGATCAGCAAACGAACCCAGGAGTTTAACACACAAGATGGAAACCCAAGGCCCACAGGCCGGCCACATGCTGGACATGGAGCCACCAGCTGCACGCTGAACATGGAGTCCCACGCATGTGACGGATTGCTCCGTGGTAAGCATGCTTGGGAAGAGAAGCCGGGGCCCTGGGCCTCTGTGGCATTAGCAGTCTCAAGAAACACAGGCCTCGGAGGTGTCTGGGCCGGACACCAACAGAGAGGCAGCCCCAATGTGTGCCGTGGGTGGGCAGCATCTGCCGGGCACGGAGGAGAAGCAGGCAGGGGGACCCACTGACTCCACGGGGATAGAACCAAACAGTGTGGAGTTTAAAACCAATTGCTTTTTAGCCCTTCAGCAATACTTTTTAATTAGTTTTAAATGTTAATGGTTCCTGTAATGAACTCAGAATAGAAATATATTTAAATAAATATTTTTTAGAGATTGTTGGCATTTATGATTCTTTGATGCATGGTCTGAGCAAAATAGAGTTGATGCCAGGAAGAAGTAAATATCCATGCTTGTTAAGCTGAAACAGCCCTGGTTTTTGACATTGGAAATGTTTTTGAAATAAGTAGGTCTCGTTTTCCCCCTGCATTTCAATTTGTGTTATTTTAAACGGTAAGAGCCTTTATCTCCTCACCATTTTAAAAAACAGATTGAATTTACGGTCTGACTCGGTCGGCTCCTGTCTGCTGATTTCCCCTCTAGCACCGAAGCCAGCACGGCTTAGCGCCTGTGGTTTATGATCTGTGCCCGCCGATCAGCCGGGCAGGGAGTTCACGAGCGCCCGCGGCTTCCCAGGCACCGATCGCCGCGGCCTCCAGGTGTCGGTTGCTATTGAAAAAAGAAACGGATTGGATATGCTGAAATCCAGGAGCTATTAAATTATTTAAAGTTTTATGTCTTATCAAATGTTACTGGTGAGGGAAAGCTTCTTCTACAGTAAAGACATCCTCCATCCAGAGCAAAGGGCCGGGAGGTACCAGTGGCCGCTGCACAGTGCGGGGCTCGAGCAGCACCTCCCCTCCTGCGCCTGCCCGGACCAGGACTCGGTGCACACGATTTATTTCCCAAGAGCCAAGATTATTCTCACTTCACGTTGACGTTGGGAAGGCAATTCAGAGTGTGGTCATTTTTGGACACTGCCAGCAGTCTCTAACGAGGAGGCAACTTCTACTACATCTTCCATCACAGATGTTTAAAAAAAAAAAAAAGTCACAATTAGGAGGTCGCATTTTTTTTTTTTTAGGAAAAAAAGTGAAAAATAAAAATTTCAAGACCAATCAAGATACACATTTAGATATTGCTTAAATCTAAGCTGTCAACCCTTGTTGACTTTCCTCGGAGAAAACACCACAGATATACGTCCACCATCAACGACCAGAACCTCAAATTCCACATTTTCCATTCGAATAATCAAGGAACGCAATTCAGAAGTCATATTACATCCTGCATTTTATTCATTTCCATATGACAAAAATAGTAACCTAGTCTAAGACATCCATTTCAATCAGTAGATGTGTCGAGCCACAGATTTATCATAAAAAATATTGGATCTCGGTAAGAACGCCAGCTGGCTCCGGGGTCCCGGCCCTACATGGTGCTGCAGTAGAAAAATAGCGTCTCTCTTCACCACGCAGAGAGGGACAGCCTGGTCCTGAATACAGAAGGGGGCGCATCTCACCGTCCCTTCATGAACCATCTTATTTACAACACTTTACATTTCTTTTTTTAAGTTATATACACATCCTTCTGGGAGGAGAACACTACATGGTACCAATACTAACTGCCCCCCACCAAAAAAAAAAAAACCCAAAACAAAATCACAGCAAGAAGGACACATAAATAATAAAAACATTCCACTGCTGATGAGCAGCAGCCCTGAGCCCCCACCGCTCCCATGAGGAGGGACGGCCTCCCGGCCGTGGGGACAGAGTGGGAGAGCTCAGCGCTCATCTCTAACAGGAAGAGACCACGAAATCTGCTGATTGAGGAGTCTGCACAACCGTTCTGTTCGGTGGCACGATGTGACTTTACTGTTGCCGTGGTCATGTTGGGAAGATTGTCCTGTTTTTCTGTCTTAGCCAAGAAGATGTGTCACTGTCCGGCTCCCGCTTCAGGCGCACACCTTGAAGGCCAATGGGCACCGCGGCCTCTCTGAATGCTGCCGTCGAACGAAGCTCGCCGTCTCGGGCTCTGGCACGTTTGCAAACGCACAAAATGAGGTAGAACACACAACACTGCCCGTACGGGCTCCAAGCCCGCCCCACGCCCCGCACCCTGCCGAGGGTCCCCTTCCTGATGCCAGGCCGTTTAAGCAAAGTCAGCAGCTTCACACTGTGTTTTGAAAGATCACTGGACATTGTGCTTTGTTTTCATCTGAGAAGATAATAAATAAACCGGGAACTTAGAAACTGTCCCAGGTCCGGCTGCCACCATGGCCAGATATAGTGCCTCCGGGGGTGCTGTGCGCAAGAGCCCGAGCTCGGGGGGACAGTCATGCTCTCGCCAGGGGCCGAAGGGGAAAGGGAGCAGGAAAGCGCCCCACCCATTCTCTCCGTTCACTCGTCTCGGTGCCATAGGCCCAGGATTGATTCATCAAGGTTGTGTGAAGGGGTGGGGGGTTCCAGGTTTTTAAATGGGCTTTGTAGAAAAGTTAAATAAATCATTTTAATTTAAGAAACGGCAGGCCCTAGTTTATTGAGGAACAGACAAGTCCTGGTGGCTTTTCTGTTTAAGTGACATAGATTTCTCATATTGTTTGACCTTAGGACAAAACAAGAAACTGTAACAGTTTTTTTTTTTTTCATTTTCCTTAAATCAAAGTACTATTTATAAAATACTTTACATCTTTTTTAAGTCTTCAAATTATAGACAAACCTCCCTAATACAAAATACTAAAAGTGCAATAGTATAAATTAAGAGTTTGCAACCACATTATACAAACATTACCTTTTTATTGTACAACTTCGATAACGTGAAATATTTCCTCACAACCGCTTATAATGTTGTGAATAATTTACGGTGATGTTTGTCTGTAACTTGTTTCCCATCGCTGGGCTACAGACCACTCTAGAGAGCAACTGTCCACATAGCAGCTACAAACATTTAAATTAAAAAAAAAATTTTTTTAAAAAGGAACAGAAAGGCTCGTCACTGACAGGTACTTGCACAGGAAAGCATGCGGTCTTGCCCAGCGGGACTTCACAATTTGCCTGCATTGAAATAACGCACTTATTTATAGTAAAACAAATTCCACTTAAAAAAAAAATCACATAGCCAGATGTATTCTGCAGTACAAAAGCTTCCTTTAAAGTTGGGGCTGTATTATCTGTTACCCGCATAATCTTAACATTATAAATACTACAGATGAAGGTACGGCCGTGAGACACCGCGCCGGCAGCACCTGACCACATCTTCAATAGTCTAAAAACAGAGTTCGAGTTTCTAAGGAATTCGGACAAAACCTTCGAGTGAGGGTCGCTGGAACGCCACAGGGACCCCTCTCTCTCCCTCTCGGGGGTTATCAGGTTTTGGGAGGAACGAAGTGGATGTGGTTTGAGCCCTTTCTATTCCCGAGGTGGGAGGTGGTTTTACAAGGACTTATCTTTTCGACGTACATTTATTTCAAAGGTCACAGGGTCCCCAACAACAGTCAGGCTCACTGCAGAAAGATGTACCATGCAGCGCGTATGAGACCACCTTCTAGCAGCCACACAGCGGACGTATTTTCTGCTACAGGTAAAATTTCAAGGGTAACTGGGGACCGAGGCTGTGCAGCCCGACGGTCGCACTTGACACTGTGCGCATGGGATGGAGCGGCTGGGCCGAGATTGTGCACACCTAGTTAATGCCAATCTCCTTGTTATCTTCAATAAACCGTGTGAACGGCCGGCTGGCTCCTGTCTCGGAGTTCGCTTTGTCCAAACCCACGATGGGTGGACTACTGCCAGTGCGTGCTTTGTCCATTCCGGCGGCCAGAGAACCCAAGGGGGGGATGGCGCTTCCGCCGAGACTTACTGGGAGCTGGGGAATGCCGCCGTTCTGGATGACGGAGATTTCGTTATTCTTCATGGCCAGCCCATTTGTGATGGCTGCAGCGTACTGGTTCCAAAAGCTGGGGTCTACATTCATGGCTCGCGCCGCCAGGTCCTTCTGGAACATTTCTGAGAACTTGAGGGCATCACCACCTAGCAGAGCCATGGGGTTTTCCACGGACAGGCGGCGGCCACGCCGTGCGGGGGCGTTATTCCACATGTGCGTGCCCATATGCACCTGTGTGAGACACACGGAGAGACAAGGTACAGGTAAGCAAGCCCAGCCCACAGGCAGGGACAGGCCTGCCTCCACACATCCCACGATCCTCCAGAAACCCAGCATGGTGCTCTCACCGCTGGATCCTGTTCCCCATTGCGAGCATGAGGTGGGGACGACAAAACAGGTGGGCCTTTCTGAGCATCTTATCCTTAAATATGCACTATTTCTCTTTATGAAATATGGAGAGCACAACCATTCAATGTGCTCGTGTACGTTTCTTCCCTTGCCGCTCTCCCCGGACGGTGGACAGCCTGCAGACCCCCCAATGAGGCTGCAAACCCCAGAGGGCACAGAGCCTTGCCCCTTGTGCCCCTGCCTGGCCCTGGGATGGCGGGGAACTTGAACTCCCAGCTTCCTTGGGCCTGACATGGAAGATGTGTGTGGCTAGCAGCGGCCTTGGGCAGCTCCTGTCCTACCAGGATGGAGCAGCCACGGGTCTCAAGCTTTTCCCAGACCCTGAGGAGCACATCACGAGCCAAACAAGTACATGACGTGGACAGAAAGGGGCACGTTTAGCTGAGGCTGCTCATCTGGCATTCTGTCCACACCCCAATTTCCCGGGAGAACAGACAGGGTTGCGGTCATCTCCAGCAAGAACACTACCCTGGGCTGCTCCCTCCTGGCCCGACTCACGCTGGTAGGCTTTTCACCAAAGGCCTGCCAGCCCCTGCTGGTGGCCACGTGGACAGAAGCAGAATGCAGCCCCAGCCTTTGCACAGAATCTGCGTCATTTGTATCTTGTGCAAGTGTTTCAGAGCCCAGTTTATCTGGTTCTCGGTGTTCCACCGGATTCAAGACTGTGCCAGACTCCGGGACTGCTGGCCCAGGAGCAGTGCCTATGTGTTCGGCCCCCAGGAGGTGATGTGAGCCCTGGGAGGGCAGCCTACCAGCCTTGCAAGGTGAGCCTTTCAGTACTGTGGGCAGCACACACACCTTGGGAAGCACACATCAGACTCTGAAAGTGCCGTGGGCAGCACACACTGCGCTCCCCCCCGGGCTCCCCCCGCACATCTCTGTCCCCAGTCAGGACCTCAGCATGTCCACCTGAGCCGGGACCTCAGCATGTCCTCCTCGGCCAGGACCTCAGCAAAAGGCTGGCCTGCAGCACATCACTGGGGGCAGGGTGGGGAGAAGCTCTGGGGCCGACTCCCTGGGGCTGCGGGGGCACAAACCCGGGCCTTACCTTGAGGTTGCCCTTCGTGGTGAATGCCCTCCCGCAGATGGTGCAGCCGAAGGGCTTCTCCCCGGTGTGTGTACGCTCGTGAATCTGGAGGGCGCTGGCCGAGGAGAAGGTCTTCCCACATGACTGGCAGTTGTGCTGCTTGGGTGTCCGGCGTGGCGGGGGGGCCAGCATGGGCGCGAGGCTGGGGCTCATCACCGCCTGAGGCCCTGGGGGCACCTGCACCGTGGCTGGCAGAGGCGGGCCCTCGCCCAGCGCGAGGGCCTTGCTGTGCCCATTCACTTCCATTTTGATCAGGGTGGGCGTGGAGCTGGCAACCAGGCTAGGAGTGCTTTGGCTGGGACCTAGGGCAGAGTCGGGGTCACAGGACTGAGAACGCGGCTCGCTCAACGTGTGCGTCAGTAAGTGCTGTTTTAAATTACCCATAGTGGAGCACCCGCGCCCGCAGAGCGCACAGAGAAACGGGCGCTCCTTAGTGTGGCTGCGGTGGTGGATCTCCAACGCGCTCCTGCAAGCAAAAGGCTTGCCACAGACACGACACACAGTGCTGGGACACTTACCCCGTTCTCTGCTCAGGAACAGCAGGCTAAAGGGGGCCTCCTCCTTGATGGCTGGCCGGCCGGGCGGGGCCGCCGTGAGGTCCAGCGCACCCCCGTTTTCGGGTGCGGGGGGAGGGCTGTCCGGCCTCTCGGTCTTTAGGGCCGTCTCCGGGGGCTCCTCCTGGTTGCTGAGGCCCGGGGACTTGGAGGGCAAGCTCTCGCTGTTGCTGTTCATTGGCGACAGGGCGTGCATGGAGGACGAGGACTCAGACAGCGCCGGGCTGCCCGCGCTCCGGCTCTCCAGATCACCCACGGCTGACGACGAGTCATTGCTCAGGTGGTCGCTCTCGCCGGACCCGTTCTCCACAGACTTGAGGGTGGTGAGCTGTGG